ACTATCTCACACCAGTTAGAATGGCAATCATTAAAAGGTCAGGAAACAACAGGTGCTGGAGAGGATGTGGAGAAATAGGAACACTTTTACACTGTTGGTGGGATTGTAAACTAGTTCAACCATTATGGAAAACAGTATGGCGATTCCTCAAGGATCTAGAACTAGAAGTACCATATGACCCAGCCATCCCATTACTGGGGATATACCCAAAGGATTATAAATCACGCTGCTATAAAGACACATGCACACGTATGTTCATTGCGGCACTATTCACAATAGCAAAGACTTGGAATCAACCCAAATGTCCATCAGTGACAGACTGGATTAAGAAAATGTGGCACATATACACCATGGAATACTATGCAGCCATAAAAAAGGATGAGTTTGTGTCCTTTGTAGGGACATGGATGCAGCTGGAAACCATCATTCTTAGCAAACTATCACAAGAACAGAAAACCAAACACCGCATGTTCTCACTCATAGGTAGGAACTGAACAATGAGATCACTTGGACTCGGGAAGAGGGACATCACACACTGGGGCCTATTATGGGGAGGGGGGAGGGATTGCATAGGATTTATACCTGATGTAAATGACGAGTTGATGGGTGCAGCACAGCAACATGGCACAAGTATACATATGTAACAAACGTGCACGTTATGCACATGTACCCTAGAACTTAAAGTATAATAAAAAAAGCATAAGAGATGTTTTTCAATGAGCTAGGAAGATGGAAAAACAAGCTTAGAATGTTTATTATTCAGAAGAAGGGAAGTGCAAGGAATACTCAGCTTTGCTGCTGCTGAAGGAGGCTCCTGGCAGAGGCTGTTTCAGAGGTGAGGTCTCTCTGAGAAAGGTGGTAAGAGGCAAATAGGATGCCCCATCTGGTTTGCCAGAGATGGGGAAAGTTAGTATCCCCAAAACAGCCTCAGCATTCTGGAAAAGGCTTCGGAAAACCAGCTAGGGTGTGGGACATTGTTGGCTGCTGGGTAGAAGAAAAACGTTGCTAGTCCTGAGGACTGTACTGTTCTTTCACTGCTATAAAGAGCTACTTGAGGCTGGGTAATAAGGAAAAAAAGGTTCAATTGGCATACAGTTCTGTGGGCTGTACAGGCTTCTACATCTGGGGAAACTGACAATCAGGGTGGAAGGTGAAGGGGAGGCAGGTATGTCTTCACATGGCTGGAAGGGGAGAGAGTGAAGGGGAAGGTGCCATGCACCTCCAAACAACCAGATCTCAAGAGAACTATCATGAGGACAGCACGTGGAGGATTGTGCTAAAACATTAGAAACCACCCCCATGAGTCGATCACCTCCCACCAGGGCCCACCTCCAACACAGAGTTACAGTTCAGCATGAGATTTGGGTGGGGACGCAGAGCCACACCATGTCAGGTTTCCCATTCTTCTGCACGTGCTTCCCAAGTGGTTCTGTCACTGATTTTTGTTTTTGTTCATACATAATATATGTACATATTTTCAGAGTGCATATGATATCTTGATTCATCCCTATATTGATCAAATCTGGGTACTTGGGATGTCTTTCACTTGAAATATTTTCTTTTCCTTGTGCTGGTAATGTTCAAGTTATTCTCTCCTAGCTGTTTTGAAATACACAGTAGATGACCTACTGCCACCCCCTGCTTTATCAATAGTAGGTCTTGTGCTCCCATTAGGCTGTGTGTTTGTGCCCGTTACCAGCCTCTGCCCATCTCGCTTATGAGTGGGCTCTGCTGGGCCCTGTTGGCCACCTACTCTTGGCCTCCATGAGATCTGCTCTCAGCTCCTGCTTATGAGTGAGAACATGCGCCGTTTCTTTGCTTGGCTCGTTTGCTTAACGTGATGTCCTCCAGCTCCATCCATGCTGTCACGGATGACAGGGCTCTCCGCTGTGTGGTGGAGTATTGCTCCTGTGTATGTTCGGGCCACGTTCCCTTCATCCCCTGTTGACGGGCACTCAGGTGATTTCGGACCTTGGCTGCTGTGGATGGTGCTGCATTGAAGCCGGGAGCAGTCACTGGCTTTATACTCGGGGGACGTGAGCCACTTTGATGTTCTCAAGCAGACTATCCTCCATGCCCTCCGTGGAATGCCACAGTCCTTTGTGCCCATGGCTTCCACTAGGATGAACCGCTGGGAAGGGGCTTTGAGTGAACGCTTGGGTTTCTGTCTTTAACTGGTACCTGACTGCACTGACCAAGCAGGGGTCCCAGTGACCCTGGACACTGCTTCACACAAGGTCCAAAGATGCAGTTAGGTTCTTTTTTTAACTTAAAAAAAAAAAAAAGGCTTTTGACCTGGTTAAGCTATAGCATTATCAGTGTTTTTCATCTTGGAAAGGTGTATATTTGATTTTCTAAGAAGGAAAAAAATCCTGTTAAATACTCTAACCACAGATTAAATCATGTCAAGGAAAGAGGTACCATTTTGGGGGAAAATCACTCCTTCATGTCAAAGATCAAGGAGATTACTTACATAGTTTAATTGAGTTAATTATGAAATCTTAAGTGGTTTTGAGAAGACAAACTGGATGCTGCAAGACATGAGACTAAGGCTGACTTAATGTTAGTCAGCCCTGACAGAATGTGGCTGTTATTTAAAGCTTGCTCCAGTATTACTTGATAGATTGTAAGTTAATGTAAAGATCTGTTTGATGCTTTTATTTTACAAAATATTATTGAAAAAATGTTTGACAGCCAAGGAACAGCCTTCAACCAATTTCTTCCTAATTTCTATCATCAGAAAAATGTGTCCTGTTAATTCCAGAATTTACTTTTGGAAAGTTCCTGTAAGGAGAGCAGAGGTATTGGTGGTTGAATGGTGACTTGAATTTAGGTGAACATGGTTAAATATTTCAGAGTTATGTTTGTCTTAGTGGTTTTAGCAATTTTATATTAAATTTAGAACTGCGAATCAAACCAAATGTGTTCTTTTGCTTTTGTGATACTCCTTTGTTTGTATGACTATACTGGTAAAGAATGATAAAATATGTATAGGGTATTTTTTCTGTGTAGATATTAGGATTTTTAGGGGAACAAATTAATCATTCTTCTAGTAGACATTGTGCTGTATGTTGGGTACTTTGTATATTGAATCAGTATAATGAGGACCACTTGAAAGTATGTTTCTATACAAGATCTTTTATATGCTGACTTGTGTTATGCAAAATCCTTCATCCTCTAAGAATAAGCAACGGGTTGGAGGAGAGGTTTAATCCCCCATTAGGTCTATTCCAAATGCCTAGAATTGAATACAAGTACGAACAGTTTGGAACAGTTTCATCCCATGGTAAGTCAGGGAGCATATGTGGTCATAAAAGTAGAGACGATGTCATAGATACCATGAGATATAATGTCACTGATGTTATAGAGATACGATGAAAACAATCAAGTGGGACTTGGAAGCCTTGGCAGGACTCACATGGGCGGCTCTTGGAATGCAAAGGTGAGCACCACTGGCTTGTGGATGTGAGGTCTGTGCCTTCTGCTTAGCCCAGTGGGTTTTGGCAGCTCTCCAGGGCAGAGAGGTCCAGTGTTCCTGTGTTTAGGTGTTTTAGCTGCCTTAAGAGGCTAGGTCAATTCTCACTGGTGTCTTCAGGGCTTTAGGCCTTCTGAACAAGCAGGAGGAAGCACGACTTTAGAGAGCTTTGGAAATTCCAACAGACTTCAGGGCCAACCCCCTTGGCAGGAGAGAGCCCCACTGGAGGTGAGCAGGGTGCAGTGCAGGGCTGTGCTGGGCCCAGGCATGTACGGACGTTGTGAGGGCCACAGGACACAGATCGGTCTTCGTTCACAACTGGTGTGATGGCCACGCAGCCTTTCTGGCAGGTACCTGAGTGCGGGGACTTGGGTTTTGGTGTGTGCATCCTGGTTGCCTAGTTGCTTGGAAGACCCCTATTCAGACCCCAGCCTGAGTCACCCTGCCAGGCCTCCCGCTTCACAGGCCACAAGGAAGCCGTGGCGTCAGTCACCGACGCCCACCAGATGTTAGATGTGCGTGTGTATCTTCCCTGGTCTCGGGATGGGTCTTGTTTTGAGGTTATAGTAAACGTTCTTTAAGAGGGGTTTTTGGATTTTTTTATGTTTGCAAGGAGGCAGCAGGGAGTGCTTGAGCAGTGAGATCCCCTTCCCAACCAATGCGATTTTAGATCACAGCTGGTAATTAGGGCAATGGAGCTGCAAGATCACCTTCCCAACCAATGAGACTTCAGATCACAGCAAGTAATTAGGGCAGTGGGGCGGGTGGTAGAACCCTGAACTGTGGCTGTTTCTGGTGTCTTGCCCCCGCGGACAGAGCGTGCTGGGGCCTCCCTAGTCCTCTGTGGGGTGGGTGGAGCGCATGAGCCGGGTGCTGCTGCTCCGTGGCTGGCTCCCCAGCCCGGGGTTTGTGCAGGACTCTTCTGAAGACAATTTGGAACCCAGAAAGCAGCATGAGGAGAACGGGTTTGTGCGTTTCTGGATCCTTGGTACTTCCCAGTCTCAGACGCTGCGCAGGCTCTGAGGGGTCTCGCCAGGGAGACTTGCACAGTCAGCCCCCGGGTGGAGTGGGGCTGCAGCGGGTCTTGCAGGAGCTGGAAGTGGAGGTGAGTGTCTCGCAAGTGGGACCTTTCAAATGGGCCCAGCAGGATGCATCTGTGGAAAGGGTGCCACCTAATGCAGGGCTGTGGCCAGCAGGACCTGAAAGGCTACAGCGGGCTGTGTTTCTGCTCTCTTGACAGAGTCTCTACACGGTTTTCCTTGGTTTTTGTCTGTTTGGAGGACGCTTCCCCCTTTCTTGGGCTTACCAAGCCTTCTGAGCGTCCTTGTTGAGTATGACAAAGCCCTGAGAAGGCATTTTTATCACATAGTTATGTTATCCTGGTGGCTGGGTAAATGACCTGCAAATGCGGGTGACTCAGTAGTTCTGAGGGTGTTCAATATCCAAGACAGAGGTGGGAAGAAAATGTTCAGGCAGACGTCAGAGGCTCTGTTCTCTGCTTCACACTGGGGCCCTGGTTTGCTGACGGTCTTCACACTCCATCCAAAATGGGGATAATGAAGTCTCACGGATTCGGCTTCAGCTGAGAGCTGCCTCCAGCACAGTCTTGTGTGAGTAACAGTTTGTATGTTTGGTGGGAAGGGCGGGCGTCATTTGATCTTATTTGTGGTGGTGCTTATTGGTGGCTTTTTCCTAAGGAATTTAGACTTTATTAGCTTTGGCAAGGGAATCCTGAGTGATAAAGTAGAAGAATGTTTCAGGAAATTCTGGAACCTGCAGTGAATCTGGAATCTGTACGAAATTGAGATTTGGATTCTCATGATTTCCTAATGCTACCCCGAAACCCAGTAGTTGAGATAGTCGTAGAGCTTCAGTTGTGCTGCCCCAGTTCCCCATTTTAAAAGGAACACATTGCTTTCATCTAGAATGTTCTGAGCTCTGAGTGCTGCCAGCGGAGTGACCAGCCCTCTGCATCAGAGGGGAAGCCAGGGCTGTGCTCACGACGTCGCAGCAGCTGGGAGCTGACCCTGGACCTCAGGCACGTGTGCTGCTGACCATTTTCTGTAAACTCCAAGGGTGCAGTGGTCTCCTTGGCGCTTTACAGTCTTCTGAAGCTTTTGATGTGTCTGCACTTTATAGATTTTTACCGAAGTAGACGGCCTTTTCCCACACCCTTGTGCTGAGTTTTGTCAGAGGCTGGTGTGTGGGAAGCACCACACCCACATTCTGACAGGGAAGACTCTGGTGCCCAACTGAGGTCAGAGTGGAATTTGTTTTTCCTTCCCTCCAGTCTGGTCCAGCTGCTCCCTCCTTGGCCAGAAGAAAATCATGCTTATCCAAGTCTTAGGCAAACCCCCTAAGTCAAACATTTGTCTTTTTTCTTTAATATACCCATTTAGTTTATATGGGATGATAGAGAAAAGTCTTTTTAGGGGAAAATTAATTTAATTACAGAGAAATTTTTGGATAAAAATTGCAATCAAGAGGCTATTTTGTAATAAGATCTAGTTAAATACTACAGTTGAAAGCTCCTTATATTTGATCTTAAACTTGGGCCTGGTGTGTGTGTCCGCACACTTGTGCTCATGAGGCCAGGCTCAGCTGTGAACTTACAGGCACGGTACATACTTTCTGGTTGCTTTTTTGAAAGTCTTACTGCTTGGCCTCTCTGACTCAAATGTTGAGTTACATTGATTCTGTTCAGAATGATCATCCTTCTGTCTAGGGTGCAGTCATCTTCCTCTTCTTTGTCTCCTACAGTACTGTGTATTTAATAGTCAAGTATTTTATAGGTTACAGGTGACTGATCTGCTCATTAGGAAAACAATGCCAATTTTTACATCATTATAATGGACTTATTAAATGATTATGTTAGTATAATGAAGTTTACATGGCAAAAGAGGCTTTGCAGATGTGACTGTAATGGACAGTGAGATGGGGGAGGACCCTGGGTTGTCCAGGTGGGGTCCGGTGTCCTCACATGTGCCTTGATGAGAGGGAGTACGAGGGTCTGCCTCAGAGGAGACCTGAGGGCTGTGGGGCTGAGGGTGGGAGTGGGGCAGGGGCCGGAGGGGCATGGGGCCAAGGGTGGGGTGGGGCCAGAGGAGTGCAGGGCTGAGGCCGGGGCAGTGGTTGGAGGGGTGTGGGGCTGTGAGCCAAGCTGCATGGTGTGACCTCTGAATTGGGAGACCCCAGGCAGGAACACAACCTACTGACCCCTTGGCTTCAGCCCTGGGACTCCTGACTTCCAGGGCTGAGAAGAGGTTTGCATTTGTGGTAATTTGTTGCAGCAGCAATAGGAAGTTAATGCATTGTATCTGTTCTTCACCTCCAAACCTTTGAAAAGTAACCCTGTTGTATCGGCCTCCTCCTCCTCCACGTTCCTGCTCCTCCGCCGCCCCCTCCTCCACGCTCCTGTGCCGCGGCCGCAGCCTCCTCCACGCTCCTGCTCCTCCGCCTCCTCCTCGCTCCTCCACTCCTGCTCCTTCGCTCCTCCACTCCTGCTCCTCCACTCCTGCTCCTCCACTCCTGCTCCTCCTCCTCGCTCCTCTACTCCTGCTCCTCCACTCCTCCTCCACTCCTCCTCCACTCCTCCTTCACTCTCCTGCTCCTCCTCCTCCTCCTCTACTCTCCTGCTTCTCCTCCACTCTCCTGCTGCTGCTCCTCCTCCACCCTCCTGCTTCTCCTCCACACTCATGCTCCTTCTCCACGCTCCTGCTCCTTCTCCTCCTCCACGCTCCTGCTCCTCCCTCTGCTCCTGCTCCTCCCTCTGCTCCTCCCGCTCCTCCTCCCTCTGCTCCTCCCCCCTCTGCTCCCGCTCCTCCTCCCTCTGCTCCCGCTCCTCCTCCCTCTGCTCCCGCTCCTCCTCCCTCTGCTCCTCCCGCTCCTCCTCCCTCTGCTCCTCCCGCTCCTCCTCCTCCATGCTCCTGCTCCAGCTCCTCCTCGCTCCAGCTCCTCCTCGCTCCTGCTCTTCCTCCTCCTCCATGTTCCTGCTCCTCCTCCTCCATGCTCTTGCTGCTGCTCCTCCCTTTCCCTGCACAGCCCTTCCTTTTCCCACTTCCTCCCTATTTCCTAGACAGCTTTCTTTCTCTTTTTCTCCTTTCCCATCCTTGGGCAACCTCCTTGAAACTGGTTGAAAGTCACTGGTCTGTGGGGCCGCCCATTTGACAGACGAGCACGCTGAGGCCCAGGCCAAGTGACTGACTCAGACCCGCGCGGAGGCTGACCCACGCGGAGGCTGACCCGCGCGGAGGCTGACCCAGGTCATCTCCTGCCTCCCATACCACTGGGTTGTCCCTAATGGAAGAGAATCAGTGATGCTGCTTCACTGATCTCCAGGGAAAGCAGGTCGATAACAGGTTATAAACATGGGAACGTTTTGGAAAATCTGTCATCCACTTGTCAGCTCCATCTCTCCTGCCGGGAAGATGTAGCGAGAACCTGCCTTCAGCCCACCCTCATCCCGTAACAGGACAGAGGACAAGGGCAGAGACCCAAGTCCTGTCGGTGCCCTCAGGAAACCCCCCATTTCCTCCTCATGGTGGAAGTGGAAACCATCCCGCTGGATGATCTTCCCGGGGAGACCCTCCACCCTCAAAGCGAGGAATCTGGTGTGAGCGCACACACATTCTTGGTGCCATCACTTTCTGCAGCTGAACGCTGCGTACGTGGCCCATTAATCTTGCTAGTCCGGTGTTACTGGGTCCTGGGAGTTTCTGTGGGTTGATGGCAAGTGTCTACCATTGTGTTTAGAGAGGAAAATAGAACTTCACTGTGTCGAAATCAGATGATAACCATTGCCATGTGATTCCTTGGGTTGGTTGGGGCTGGGGATACTCAAGCTTTTTCAGAGGGCGAAGTTCTTGTTTGAGACAGTCTCACTTTGTTGCCCAGGCTGGAGTGCAGTGGTGCGATCTTGGCTCACTGCAACTTCCGCCTCCTGGGTTCAAGCAGTTCTCCCTGCCTCAGCCTCCCGTGTAGCTGGGATTACAGGTGTGTGCCACCACGCTTGGCTAATTACAAAAACTTTTCAGGCAGGGTTTTGCCGTATTGACCAGGCTGGTCTTGAACTCCTTACCTCAAGAGATCGGCCCACCTTGGCCTCCTAAAATGCTGGGATTACAGGCTTGAGCCACTGTGCCCGGCCCGATCCTGACATCTTTTAAAGCTGCCTTCATGTACCAAAAGCCAGTCTATGTTTGAAAATCAGGCTTGAAGAGCCTAAGAGGAGAGGGATATACTTCAGCTAGGTAAATAACTATGCATATGTTAAAAATGTGGGCCAGAATCTACCCCAAATGTTAACTCTTCTGCTTGGCTTTTTATATCCATTTATGGTTATTCTTTCAGTATTAAGATTTTTAAAGATTCTTTTGATAATTGTGGACAAATTACTATTAAAACTCAGCTGCATTTGTAACACTTTAAAGAAGTAATTGGATGACTTTGTTTTTCTCGGAGGCATTTTGAATAGTTACATAATTAATGTTTATCTCTTTGCCAGAAATCTTTTTTTTCCCCCAGAATAGAAACCTGAAAAAAAAATTCCTTTGCATTAAGTGCTATTTCACTGTGTGACAATCAAGTTTTGAATGTGAGAACAAGATCATCATGTATTTTTGGGATAATTCTTGCTTAATAGTGATAATGCTAAGTGTTAAAATAATGGAACAATTAGTTTTTTTGAAAATTGCTATTTGCCTGCTCATCAGGTGGGAGCTGATGAGAACGTGGTTGTAAAAATTAAATTGTATTTAGCTTGTATAAAAGAAGTTTAAAAAAAAAGCTGTTTTGTGCTACTACTGAAGTTGCTTAGCTGTGGAAATGAGGTGATTGCAGGCACCTAGAATTTGATCTCCTTCACTTCCACAATGGGAAGAAATTCTCCAAGAAGCACAGGAATCTGACTTTCTGATATTGAGACTCCTAGGCATCAAGCCCCATGGAAGGGGTTGGGTGGTGATTACGTGAGCGTTGGCGTTGATGTGGGCATCCTCCAAGCCGGACGCAGGGAAGGGCAGAAAGAACAGGCCCCTCAGGAGCCATGAGAAAATAAAGTGTTGGCAGCAGTGGTGAGGGTTGGTGTCAGGGGCCAGGAAGAGGTGGCGAAGGGGAGCATGTGCCTCAAGGCAGCCCTGGAACCCGCAGTCCCTGCAGTGAGGTCTGGTCTGCAGGGGACATGGACGGCCATGCGGTGAGACCCACAGACAGCCTGGACTCGGCTGCCTCAGAACTCTGGTGGACGTTGCAAACGGTCCCACAGGGTTGCAGTGCACATTCCTCGGACAGAAAGAAGACGCTTGGAACTGTTCCCGGCACGAAGCCAGCGCCCTGTGAACAGTGGCCGCTGCTGTTGTGACTGAGTGCCGTCCAACTGGGGACATTTGCTCTGCTCAGTTCACTTAATTGGGCCAGGAATGGGGTTGCCCTGCCTCCAACAAGCTTGACGCATTGAACGAGGGCTCAGTCGATAATGTACTCTGTAAATACGCTCTCCTGGCTAGAGTGAGCAAAGCCCAGGGAGCGGGTGGTTCTTCAGTATTAGCCAGGTGTTTGTGGCAGGGCCAGCTGTGCGGCTGCCAGAGCGAATGTGACCAGGAAGCTTCTGTCC